CCCCAAAACCCCAAAACCCCAAAATAAGAATATATAGTAAAGAGGAGACGCAAGGTGTTAAGTAAATTTATTCGTAGATTATACTATATATAAATACATATTTATTTAATTATTGAATCTCTAGTTTGATTAAATTATTTCATAAGGGAGCCAATAAGGATCATTCAGATGATTTTATATATAACTTAATACTAAAAGGTTTATCCACCTTAGAAAGAGGAAGAAAATTCTTTCTAAAATATGATAGGGATTACTCTCTTTTTACATCTTTGCTCATTCTTATAGTTTTCTTTATATCTGTTATAGCTAATTTTTGTATTTATGATCCCACCTAGATCTGGTTTTTCTTAAAAGGTTATTTGTGAAATATTAGATCTTGCTTCTGTTTAATATTTATTCAGGCGTTATCAGGATTTAGACCTAGGCATCTTCAATTGAGGTTAATTAAGTTGATTGAAGTGGAGGTTCTTAGACATCTAATAATGATTTCTTACCGAGACTTGTCCTCAAAATTGAATTTTTATTGGTCATAGAAGAGTATAATTAGTTATTGATGAGATTTAGTTCGCCTTAGATGGACATTGTTGTTGGGGAACCTATCCCAGTTGATCTCAATTTGTTAAGTTTTAGATTATAACTTGTATTTAATGTACTCCTTTCATTAGACTTCATGTAGCTTTTTCTTTAATCTGTGAAAGAGAAGAAGCTATCGTATGTCTTTTCCATTTAGGTCATTTATTGAGATTTAAGTTGTTCAAAAGTGAATGTTTCATAATCAGGTTTTTTGAGTAATTTCTAATGGACTTAGCTTTAGCTTTATTAAGAATTTTGACTCAGAAGTTGCTATATCCTTGATCTGTTTTTATGCTTGCTAATAATTTAACTAGCTAAATAGCTTTGATTTAGCTTATTAAATTTCGCAAAGTCTACACTTTTATATAACATAGTCTGCTTATTGCTTTTCTAGCTCATATTAACTTGTGTATAACTTTTTAGATAGTCCATACTTGACTTGAAATTTGTTGTCCTATCATAATTATAACTATGATTCTAGTTTGAGTAATCCAAAATTATCTCTTTTGGCAGAATTACTATATAGGAAGGTAATTAATGATAGCAGATTTAATATTATTACTTTGTTTTTTAATTTTTTCCAGTCATTGATGAAACTAATGCTCCTAATCATCTCCTTCCTCTAAAAATTTCTTTATATTAAATTCATGAGCATCTGAGAGTAAATTATCTATCTTTTCTCTTTTGCCTTTAATTAATGATTAACTGAGAAGATGAACTCCGTTGTTGATACCTTAATCTCTTGCCGCAAAATCTATTTATTTTAAAATTGTCAAGAGGTTACTTTTTTTATACTCAGAATCCATTCTTTTTAATTGACTTAATCTAGGAAAATTTAACTTCGTTCTGGTAAAAGTATTTGCTATTATAGGCGATTCCCCCGCACAATTAGTGGTGGGACCATGGTTTTCCATTTTGAACATGATATAAATAAATTTAAACTATTAAAACCTTAATTAATTAAAAAAAGTCATGGATGAACTCAAAATTTTGATTGATTTGAGGCACAGTTCCTGACCACCCTTATTCTCAATAAATATTTGCTCATTTTCTTGTAGATCCAGATTTCTTTGTGGTGGATGGTTTCTTAACTGGGGGTTCATCTGACTCTTCATCTTCATCATCCTGCATTTCAATGTCGCCTCCTTCAGCATCATCTGAGCTTTCTGCAAGTTTGTCATAATTATCTTCATCATCATCATCGTCCTCCCCGCCATAGATTTCCGAGTCAATTTCCTCGTCTTCATCCTCTCCAATCTAATCGTCTTCATCATTATCTTGCTTTGATTCTTCAACAGAGTCGTCTAAATCATCTCCTAGATCCTCATCATCTTCAATATCAATATTGTCTCTCTTTACTCTCTTCTTGGTCTTAATATCGATTTCTTGAATTTCTTCATCTTCACTCTCATCATCATCATTCTCAAAATCATCTTCTTTTTGACTATCCTCTTTCATGATCTCATCTTCCTCATCATCAGCATCTTTATATACCAAAAGAGCTTTATTATTTGTTGATTTACTATCTTTTTATGGATTGGCTTAGTTAATTTATTTTCTGATTTCAATAGTATTCTGGAGCATTTCAAGTTTTCCTTTTAATATGAGTATCTTGTCCATATATTTTGTTTTCTTTTAAATATAGGATTGAATTGCACCTAAGTTTTTCAAATCTTCCTTATCAGCTCTCTTAATTAATTATGGCCAATGCAATGCCAACAATGTTTTTAACCACATAACCGCACTCAATTGAGTCTAAGTTGCATTATCAGTATTTCCTTATGATCCTCCTTCTTGCTAGAATTTTATTACAATCTGTTTGAAAAGTGCACTTATATGTCTGTGTTCTTTTAAATTTATTAAAGTTTAAGTAATCATTTATTGGTCTCTTTAACTCATAATCCAGTCTAGTGTTTCTGTATCATCAGCAGTTAATGCTTAAGAAAGTATGACTGAAAGAGATCCGGACACTGGTTTAGATTGCTTTTTAGAACTAACAGAGGTCATTTTAGATTCTAGATTGTCTAAGTCATTATCAGGCAAAAGTGAGAGATTCAACTAATTTGATTGTTTTCTATTTTTAAAAAGTCCATTTATTTTTGCATTACCCTCATCTTCAATACCCAAAACATTGTAGCCTTCCTCTTGATTCAATTTTTTCTTTGATAACTAATTCTTTTTCTCTTCCTCATTACTTTTACCAAGAGTAATTTCTCTTTCTATTTTGCCTTGATCGTTAGTTAATGATAATAAACTCTTCTTAATTGCAAATACTGATCCATATATTATGTTTATATGTGTTTGAGATCCTATTATTTGTGAAATAATTTAATGATTTGAATTTGATAGCTTGATTTATGTTTCTCTTTTCTTAACAATGCTTTTGCTTGCAGAAGCTTTTTTAGCTGATTGATTTCCTGCTGATTTAGTATAGTAAATATTTGTATAGTTTTCTGTTGAAACTGCCACCATATATACATGATCATCTACTTCAGTAGATGATACAGATTGAATCATATCTGATGAGCCTAAATCTAGTATTTTATCAGGTTATGAAACTTCATTTATTTATTAACTATTATTGCTTTTTAATGCCTCCTTGGGATTCCATACAAGACATTCACTGTTTGCTGATGATAAGAATACATAGCTTTAGCTATTTTAAGCGAAGCATAGATTTCTTATCTTGTATTGATGACCTTCATATTTGGCTATGACCTATTTGGTTTTTAGATTTCTCAAAACTATGGAGTGTTAAAATGACTCGATTGTGTAGTTATCGTCAAAACTAATATCAATTAACTAAGGACACTAATTAGTCTTCTTTTTTTATTAAGAACTAATAATTGTGTCTACTAATGATTGCTTCTAGAAATCATAGATTATATAATTATCTTCTGATGATACTAATATCTTGAAAATGTTGTCTTGCTTCCTAAAGAAGGCTATTTATTGAATGGAGGAATTTCCGCATACTGTAGCTAAACACAAAACACATTATAAATTTTAGAATATTACCTATTTCCTTTAATACTTGGGCTGAAGCACAATCAATAAGCTAAATAGATCCATCACTTAATGCAGCTATCAAGATATAATCATTCTATTATGACTATTAAGACTTAATTGATATATACCTGAGTTCCGAATGCTAAAGTAGTGTATTTCAGTAGATTTTTTCCTTGTTTACTGGGTGTATTTGGGTCATTCTTTCTATTAGGTTTAAGATTCTTAAGACATTTAGCGCTACCTTTAATGTCCCATAACTAGAAGAAATTAGCAAGTAGTATATCTTACATGTAACTCATTCGTGTCTGCCTAAATGTAGGAGAGATATTGCTACTGTGGAGAAACCTTTGCTTATAACATATTTAATAATCAATAAGTAATTTATAATTCAACTATTTCTATACAATACCTTAATGAGGGGTTTTGGGGTTTTGGGG